TTATATCTTTTAAAATTATTCTGACAATTAAAAAGTAGGTTATAATCATATCATATGATAAATATGATAATTAAATTATTTTAGCATGTTCCAATTTGATATATAATAATCTATTATAAAATATTACAGTACTACAGTTCTATTTTGTCTTGATAAAGAAAGTAATAAATAACATGATAACTATTATATTTCTTTAAAGTTTGAGTCATCATCTCATTAACTTCTTTCTGATTATGTTGATTTTTTCTATTTCTCATATTTCAGACCAAGTGTAATCATTTTGCTAAGTGAATTTAAAGCAGAAGACATTTTACAATTTTCTAGAATAATATAATTAAATAGATATCATAAATAATTCTATAATTAGTAATGAATAGTTTTATACTTTGATTGAATTTATAAACATGACTTACTTTCATCTATTATACTGTATATTTAAAATAGTTTCAAATTTTTAATTATAATTACTTTGTAAATCTATTGAGAATTCATTTTTGTTTTTTCATACAACTTTCCTTTTAAATTTCTAAAAGAAAGAAATTAAAGTCTAAATTATTACTAGCGAATAATTACTTATTGCATAATTGTTAAGTTATTTTACTCTTACTCTTCCTTACCTTTCAAAGAACTTTAATTTACAGAATCCCATTAGATTGCTTATTATTTATGTTTATTTGAGACTATAAAATATTCCTTTGATAATGCAATATCCTTCATTGTTAATAGGTAAAAAAAAGATTGTAATAAATCATGATGTACAGTTAATTGTTTGCAACAGCTTTTTTTTAAAAAAAAAAAGTAATTTTCTTCAAATATTATCGTCAGGAAATAAAATGACGAGTTTTTAAAATCTCGTTAAAGTAGCATCCAAAGTTATACCAATAACTATCACAGATCGAATAATGACAAATCAGGTACTAATTGGTTATCATCTAGTAACCCAGATGATAACTAATTGGTACCTAATTTTTTTTTATTTAAAAACCTGATTACTGTTGTAAAATAGCAGCAAAGGTATACAATCAGATTCAAATTAGGACATACAAATTGGGCTCCCATCAGTCACTAATTTGATACCAATAGGATATACTTATTGCTATAAATTTATTTAATTATTAATATCCTGATTGATATCTTTCGATCTTCCAATTGATTACAACATTAAATAAAATTTTTTGATTACAAAAAATTTATTCAATAAATTTACTTATTATTTACTTATTTAGCATTTACTTATAGCAGAAAAAAACTGAAAAAAGCTGAAAAAAAAATAATTTAAAATTTAAATATTGCATTAATTAATTGTCATTCTTCTCATAATCACTATTATATTCTGTCAATACTAAACTTCTACTTCTTTCTCTATTCTCATTATCCTTCTTGAAATTGTCAGCATAATTTCCATTATGACTATTATCCTTTTCTTTAACATTATTCATATCTTCACAGACCGGAAAATAGTTAACATTACTATATCTTTTAACGTATGACTTTAACGATCTATTATATCCTGTTCTTGTCTAAGCAGGAACATTCACAGGTATCTTTTCTTCATTTAATGCAAATTTGACATAATTATACATCCATTTTCTCATTCTGCGTACCTTTGAAGCTTGGCTAAATTCAGTATCTATGTAATCTCGTAAAAAGGTATGCAACTATTAAAAAATATTAATTAATACATGCTGATTGGAACTAATTATATAATAACATTCATTACTTACCATTGAAGATCGCTACTTAATGTCTTTAATGACGATTTTTCATTTAGGACTTTTGTCATCAGTTTTTATACCTCTGGATTATGATATCAATTATCAGTGAAGACTGGTTAGATTTCGTCATTATAAAATTTTTCCAATAACTGATCATTCAATCTTATTAATTTGCTAATTGTTTTAACCCATCTTTCTCATTTCTAGATGGTAAAAAAAAATTAGATAAGGTAAAAAATAAAAAATAT